ACCTGACTGCCAAGCTGATTACAGACACTTTTCACAAAGCCTGGTTGAACAGAGCATTGCTCCAGTGGGGTTGTGATCCTGTCCAGCTAAGCCACCTTAGTGGGCCAGGCACTGCAGATGTCACATACCTGCACCTGGGGGGCACCCAAGTAAATCAGCATACCAGTGACTTCTGGTAGAACCACCAAGGAGATGACTAAACTTGTGTGGCTAGAGAAAGCCAAGCAACAGAAATATCTAAATTTCACAGAAGTCAGGTCTCAGGTAAGCCAAAAGCACTTTACCCCAAGCATGAAGTGTCAATAACACTGCCGTACAACTTGTGATCTTCCACTTATTGTTCCTCTTCCTCAGCAAAAAGAGGAATCCTGTTTTTTATCTTTCCTTTTATGGTTCTTTGATCTAAAGTGCAAAGGACTGGTTGAATTTTTGGTACAATGACTACTTCCTACCAGTACCCCTTTAATAGGTGTCTTTTGCCAAAGAATATTAATTATTGCAGGCTACAGTGAAGTCCATCCCCTACCCTCACTTGAGCCTCTGAAATGAACAGTGAAGTTGAACTTGGCCCTTTTCCTAACAGTTGCTGGCAAAGAACAGCCTAACAGGAAAGATAGTGAGGATTTTTTGTTTGTTTTTCTGCTAAACTATGCTTTGGTAATTATGAATACTTTGTTGGAATTGCTTAGAAAAGGAAGTGCACATAAAACGGTCCATAGAATTAAACTAACTACATATTAGAGTTGAAAGAACGTAAGGCTGGTCTCACTCTGTTGCACTCACACAGACAAAACCCTTTCTCAAAACGAATTTGGCTTGAGAAGGCAGATCTGGAGACAAATTTCAGTTAACTTCAGGCCCATGTGCCATATTGTCTGGTTTATGACTGCCCCAAATGGCCTAAAGGCAAAGGACATTCACACTAAACAAAAGCAATGTCTGAAAGAAAGAGAAAGGAATTGGAAAGCTGTCATTTCCACATCCCTTCTACTCAGAAGTTAGTTCTTGACTCTGGATCAGAAACCCTGAACAAGACAGTTTTAGGAGCATAAAGTAATTGCTATCTTCTCTAGACAGGGGAGGAACAGGACTACTTTATTTTGGTCAGATTCACATGAATGCTGCTTTAATCATTCCCCACTTGCTCCTGACACTTCTCCCCAAGCTTAGGTTTAGCAATCCCGAATTGCTTAACTGAGATCACTCGCCAAAGCAGGTTTCTCTTGCTTTCCAGGATGGATAATTCTGGGGCATCAAAAAAAAAAAAAAAAAAAAAAGTTTTTCAAGTGTGAGAAATTACAACTTTGTCCCCTAAGTAAAAAAATAATGTAAAAGAGGAAGTTGCACTTAGGACCACTTCAGGCTGCTATATTTCAAATAGTGTATTACAATCTCAATTAAAAATGCTTTTCTCTAGGAAACGGCAATAAAACAGAAGCAGCCCAGTCCTGACTCCCATCACACTGAGACATATGTGGTGTCTCTCTTACAGGCATATTTCACTGTAAAAGAAAAAACGTCATCCTAGAGTGAGAAAGCTCACTATCTGGTTTATGAAACATCACTTTATGATTCAGCCTTAAGAAAGTCTTGGTTTTAAAGAAAAATTAAACTTATCCTTGACTGATATAGTGAACGACATAGAGAACTAAACTTTTAGAAGCATATATGCAATATAAATGTCCTCTCAAGCACCTTCACTTTCCATAGTAAAAGCCCCCTCCCCTGTACACAAAATGGATTTGCTGCATAAACAATATTACTGAAAACATGTCCAAAATAAAGTGATATCTACTTTATTACAAATATTTTTGAGGCCGATTCTGATCTTGTACAGTCCCTTATATAAGCAACAGTATGCTGCCATTTGGCTGAGATCAAAAAAAGCCTCCCATCTCACCGCAAAGCACATTACAGTGCGAAACCGAAGTATGTGACTGTTTTTACTCCAACCTTGAGTAATTGTGCTGAAGCCTGTGACAGCAACTAACTATTGCCATCCTCAGGTGGCCCTTAGTATTGCTACAGATGAAGTCGAGCTAGCTGTTGCTGCTGCTGTGTGCTGCTCCTTACACACCCTGTCACTTGCAAGTTCTTGAACAAGGTGGTTAGAAGTGCTCACTGAGATTAGTCAAATCCTGCAGTACAGCTGCCTTTTGAAAAACCCATGTAACTCGTTTAATACTAAGAAAAGGCAATGCAAGATAAACATTTTCCTTCTCCCTCCCTTCTCTTACATAAAGTTGCATTAAAGATATCTCTGGCCAAGTAGATCTGCCAAATGCAGACCTCTGCTTCTAGCAGCTGTAAGTGGTATTGTTGCATTTGTTTTGCCTAGCTGTACCTAGCCTACCAACCTAGACAGTTCTGTAACTAGATAGTGCTCAAAGTGCATCATAAACAATTTACATTGTAGACACAGGGTGAGATGGCTGCTGACCTGATGTAGGAAGTACAGGCACAGAGCTACGAAAGTTGCAGTCAGGGCATTCCTACCTTTCAGCTCCAGACAATGGCAATCTTTGCAAACAAAGCTAAGTAACTTGGTGGATTTAAAAAAAAACAACCAAACAACGTTTGGTGCCTTTTATCTATAATTTTTAATGTGTTTTAATACTAATGAGCAAGCAACTTCTAGCTGAGCCCATGAACGTTTTTCTACATGTTCTGTCACTCCTGCAACTCCCAACTAGCATGAGTGGTGATGACATCAGGGAAGGGCATAACTAGGAAGTTAAAAACAAATTGGGAAGCAAACTAGGAAGTTAAAAACAAATTGGGAAGCAAACCTTCCCACATCACTGGTTCCAAACCCATCCACACAGGGAGTGAATGCAGTGCTACCTTCTGTAAAAGGTATTTGGTATTTCAGCCCAATGGGCCTGAGAAAGCTTCCATCCCCTGCTGGTTCTTCAGACAGGAAAATGGAAATTTTCTGCAGGAAAATGGAAAACAGAAAAGGATACAACATGGCTATCTCAACTGCACGGGTGCTCCAAGAGGATAGCACTGATGCATGGTGGCAGGAAAACTTGCATCCCCGGTACCTACTATTGTATCTCTTCTGAGATGGCAAATGAGACCTGAACACTCTAATCACCTCATATTTCTCCTGAAATAACAGAGACACAGGTCTAGTCACCTCCAATTAAAACAGATAATTCCTACAATCTGTTGGACATGCATTTATTTTGGATGTAAATTTTGTCCTTACGTAGAAAAACATCCAAACTTAACATCAAAATTAAAAAAAAAAAAAAAAAAAAAAATCGAAGCAGTCCAGCTCTACTACACATTTGGCATCCTGTAAGAACATTCAATTCATTCAGGTGCAAATTATAGTTCCACTTCCCTTCACTGTTTAGATCTTGCACATTGCAAACAGACCCATGGCAAAAGCAGGCATGTCAACTCAAATACTATTCGGTTTCAGGAGAGTTCATGAACTTTGTATAAAGCTGTAACAATCTATTGTTAAACATTAGTGCAATTCAACATAAATCCGGTATCAAAGATAGTCAAGCTTAAAGTGCTTTAATTGACTTTATAGAAGTAACAGAGCATGTATTTAATTTGGTATTGCTGATTTGTACTTTAAATAGATACAAGCTTTTGGTTCTTAGAATTACTGGACTGCATTCAGTTTGCTCAATACAGAACTGTGTATAGCTGCACAGTCATTCATACAGCTAACAGTGGCCACTTAAGATGACTTCTGCAAATAACGTTAAACATCCCGTTAAGTTACCCGAACATGTCTGGAAGTTCTGACTTGTGTGACCAAGGGACTTCAGCCCCAGCGTTACTCAGACTGGGATGCTGTGCTCCTTCCTTATCACCTCACTGCCTAGGGAAAGGGTGTGTTCCCTCCTTACCCTGCCCAACAGTGGCACCCAGTGGTCAAGTGTTTTCATGAACAATCTGGGAAATAGCTGCTGTTTCCAGTTCCCCCTCACTGGGAGTCAGTTTAAACGCACTAGCGGTTTGACTACTGAGGTTCAAAACGCTACCCACTATTTAAACTGTCTAGAAAGCCTGAGTCTACCATCGCCAGTGAAGACTAGCCAGAGCTAGGAAAAATCCACAGCACCTGAAATGTGGTAATCAGACAGCTCCAAACAGAAGACAAAAGTTACTGTAGGGTCAAACACATCAGCAAGAGTATTCTTTTAAAAAATAAGTATGCCACCTCAAGCAATGAGATATTTTAGACGTCCTTTTCTAAACAGCTACACACTGTGAAAGGATTCCTAGGCATAACATTATTTTGCCCTTAATGACAGAGCTCCGCTTTTCTAAAGGTCCTAGTACTGCAGCTAATCTCCAGGAGCACATCAGACAAACAGTCTACCCTTGATGCAATTTCCCAAGAATCAAAAGCAGTAGTAGGGCGAACAAAGCCCCCAAACTCAACAACAGGCACTCAGGAATCTCCATACTAAGTTATTTTCCACCAGCAGCCAGAAAAGGATGATGCTTCAGATTTTGGGCATTAACTGAACAGAAACATGTAGAGGGGAGCCCAGATGCAGAGTCCAGGACTACACTCTGGAAGATTCTGTTTAACATTCTTCCCTCTCACACCGATAAATTGGTTTCAGGTGACTCATACCGTCTCTGTAAAGAAGTACAAAGAGGTCAAATGCCAAGACAGCACATCAGAGAGATAAAGGAGAAGATAGGAAAAGCAAGCTATGAAGTGCAGAGAAGGCAGCACAAACAGAACAAATGCTTCTCTCACTAAATCAAGGCTGAACTGAAAGCATTATCAGAAAAGTCGTGAATCTGCATTTTAGTAAATTTAAACTCCTCCATATTATAGCATAAAGGGTTGCGAGAAGGGGTCTAAACTGACATTGGAATTAGACTGACCAATAGATTAGATGAGATGAATGAAACTGCCTTGCAACTCTTAGCTGCTTTCTTACCATGAACTGTTCTGGTTTCTAAAAAACACTGTCACTCGTAACAAAGATAGTAAATATTCAGCATTACAGTAGTTAAACTTCTTGAAAAAAAATTTAATAAGACAAATGTCTTAATGATACAGGTAAATTGTACATGACAGATTACATGTTTATAAGTGAACTGAGTTAGTCTTTTCGTAATTGGACAGTTTCCTCTTTAATTCCATCTTTTGTGACAATGCAAATCTTAAGGGCATCCCCAGTGTACACGTCTCTCTCAGCAGCAGAAATAAAGACATCTTTAACCAGCTGCAATGCCTTTTCCAGGGTCAGAGGCACATGTTCCACATTTTGCATGTTCTTGAAGCCAATCTAAGAAAAGATGAAAATGCATTTTAAAGAAAGTATGATCCATCTAGAACAGCTCTGCACTAGTACGGGCAGATTTAGACAATTTAAAGAGAAATGGCTGGTCCGTTTTAGAAACCCAAAGCTGGCAAAAGCATTCCTCCACACAATTTACAGCTGCATGGTCAGAACTCTGACAACTCCAATCCTCTTACAAAAGTCACTAGAAGCAGATCCAGTTAAAAGCAAGCATAGCTCCTCCCACCCATTCAGCATGTACAAGACCACAAAGAACATTCAGATCTAAACCGATCTAATTCTTCAGAAACTTCTCACTGGGTTAGCAGTATCTGAACAGCACACAAGCTTTTTCTCTAATAATTTTGTAGTTAGGAACATTTCTTAAAATCAAATATTCCTCAATGTACCTAGAATTCAAAAATAACAGTCTGTATTTGAGCATAACTGGTCCTATTAAATAGTGCATTTTAGCTGATAAGTGTCCACTTAAACATCAGAACTG